TTTTTTGGTTTGCCGTAGCTAGTGGAGCTGAAGATTATGACCTTGACCATGTCAGTATTTAGTTGTCGAGCCCGAAATGGATTTTCTAGCATTTTCTGTTTCCCGGCCTCTTAGCTGCCTAGTTCGATCTGGAACCACTTCTCATCATGTTACAGGAATTTTTGAGTTCAATTCACCCTGACCCTCAACTTCCCGAGGTCTGCTTGAGATCACTCTGCTTCATCCGTGCGCCCTTTCTCGTGAAGTTTAGAATGACTTTCATTTCGGTGTTGTTCAATGACTGTGTGGTGTGGCCTTAAGTAGAGCATAACTTTTAAGATTGTCGAAGTCGGTACTGTCCATGAGGTCCGGACCATTCCTTCGCTTCATAAGTATGTACATCCACAGCGCCCCCGTGTTTTGCCGGCCTATCTTCTGTACAACATTAAAAGCCGTATTGGTTTTGGACAGAGCACTCCACCTGCTTCCTCTTCTCCTGGAGAAAGAGATGAGCATAGTTGATATTTAGACCTATCGTGCCGCACCTTCTCTTAGTCTCTCCGAACAGAGTCACTGAAGATATTTTCGATTTTAGCCTAGCTATTTTTACAATATCGTCCGCGTATCCTTGGCAAATTATGCCATTATTGAAGAGCATCCTTGAGATGAGTTCATCTACGAATAAGATCTGCGTTGATCTATCGGCGCGATAATCGTTTGGCGTATACATAGTGTAACAGCATTCTCATTATAAGGGTTGATCTAATATGATTGTGTATAAATTTCCCCATTGCCTAAAGGGCAATGATAGGCTCATCAGCGAAGAAAACTTTGCCTCTATGCTTGGGTGAATTTTGCCAGCGCTAGGAACTATTAAGCCCTACCTAAACTAACGGTAACCCATCGAAAGGTATAAGATGAGTGGGTTTGAGGAAGCAAATGAAGAGCTGGTTGGTGTCCTATGACCCTTCGCAAGTCAGACAGGTGTTGCGTAAGCCGATGTCAAGTCTGGATGAAACTCAAGTCAGCTACAATATCCAGGCCTCGAGCTTATCTCGAGGCAGCTGAAGCTCTTTGTCTACGATGGATGGTGGTTGAGCTTCTATTATAATATTTTAGTGGCGAAAGTTTGTGAATTTGACTCTGTCTTAAATGGCTCTCTATGAATTTATGATGGCTTGTCGGTACATCATCGAGTCCAGTGGTCGTATTCTGTATGTATGTATGTCTGGATTTTGTCGATGAGTTCCTAGAGATGAATTCTGTCGTACATGGGAGGAGACTCTGCTTCAAGCAAGTGTCTGTTCTGTTGCTTCCTGCGTTAGAAGCCGGAATCACGGTTGGATCTCGCTATGTACTGATAGTAAGTGCTCAGTCGACATCACAATGCGCCCCATAACCGTATAGCTTCATTTCGGCGTCCTCGTAATCTTAGGTGACCAAACAAGTGAAGTAGAAGAGCGAGTTTTTAAAGACAAACCCGAAAATTTTCAGTCTTTTGGAATTGGAGTGACATCGACATGAATAAGGCAGGGGAGGGGTTAGGCTCTGAGCGGTGAAGAAGCGATAAAGATCGACGAGATACAGTTGCGGGATACAGTTGCGAGAGAGCTTCAAGATGTATGTATAAGTTAAATAATATCTTGGTGGAGTGAGGTAAGAACTGCCCTGCGGGATCCCTTATTTAATTCTTCTAGAGCTCGAAGCTTGATCTCTTGAAAGTACTAACGACTTTTGACCACTCCAATTTTTTCCTCTCTAAATAACTCACAATTAGAGTAATTGAAATCGAACGTTTTTTTTTTTAATTAAAATACTTCAGACTCCAATTACTTTTACTGCATCGCAAACCGAGCTCGGCCCACTGTTTGCGATGAATGTTTTTACTTTCAAGTAATCATAGCAGCTGTAATAGCAGCAACAACAACAATAGAAACATTATTAACAATAAAACCGCTAAAATGCAATAAGAAAGCCAACAAAAGTGAATCGGCTGTCAGCTGTACAAACAGGGTAACAGCAACAACTACAACGGCAGCAACAACAAAAGTGAATAAAAATAAAAATAAAAATAAAAAAACAATAGCGACCAGCAAAATTACATACCAGTTTCACTTTCAAACTTGTATACAGCAAAATTTCATTTCATTCGCGACGCAGAGTGCGCTACAGCAGCCAAGCAGCAGCAGGCAGCAGCAAGCAACAGGCTTTAGGCGAATTCGAAAGCAAAGTTTATTAGATAAAATTAGTCCTTAAAAAAAAACAAAAAAACATAGTGCAAAGTGCTGGCATAAAAGCAAATTAATTTCCA